TGACCTTAAGAAACAAGTCTAATAAGATAGATAAAATCAATGTACCTGTATATTGTATATTGTAGAGTCAGAGTTCAACAAAGCATATCATTCCATCATTAGGCATTATTAAATTAATGATCATTAAATAATCATAGTGATTATTTTGAGCCTATGATGATCATATAATATCTTCTTCAGTCAAGACAATTTGTACATATTCCAAGTTGTTAAAGTTTATAATTCCTATCAATCTCCAACTACATTATAAAAATAGGAACAATACTATCTTACATTAGATTTCTTTGTTTCTCAAATATTGGTGAGTGACATCAGATTCCAAGCACAGTGCTTTGTGCCAAAGATACAGTAATAAATAAAACAGATATAGCCTCTGCCTTCATGAAGCTTACAAGGAGAACCCTTAAATCTTTGTTGTAAAATTGATTCTAACTCATGGCAACCCAATGTGTGACAGCAAACTGGTCCACAAGATTTTCTTTGTTGTAATCTTTATGGAATTTCATTTTACTTGGATCTATAAAAACCACCCACAGAAGCAGCAGTCAAGTCAAATGACATATTGCATTGGGTAAATTTGCTACAAAAGATCTGTTTAAAGTATTAAAAAGCCAAGATGTCACTTTGAGGACTAAGATGTGCCTGACCCAAGCCATGGTATGAGGCAACTGAAAAATTGCCTCATATGCATGCAAAAGTTGGACCATGAGTAAGAAAGACCAAAGAACGAATGAATTTGAATTATGGTGTGCGAAGAATATTGAGTATGCCACAAACTGCCAGAAGAACAAATAATGCTGTCTTGGAAGTACATCCAGAATGTTTACTAGAAGCAAGGAGGCAAGACTTCATCTCACATATTTTAGACATGTTATCAGGAGGGATCATCCCTACAGAAAGACATCATACTTGGTAAAGTAGAGTCAGTGAAAAAGAGGAAGACATAGTGCCTGCAACAATGATGCGGATGGCACGGGACTGAGCTATGTTTCACTCTGTTGTACCTAAGGTCCCTATGAGTAAGAACCTACTTGATGGCACCAAACAACAACAACAATCTTAACAGAAGCTATCACCAGGCCTTTCCTCCGTGATGCTGCTAGCTGCATTTGAACTGACAATCTCCATCAAGAAACCTCACATGGAGAACAGCACCTTTTTATTTTTCGACCTTTTATTTTTAAATAAACTCACTCATGCATCTTGTGGTTCTATTATATATTATGCATATTATGTTATATATCATAGTAGATGTTACATATGTATTATATATTATACATTTTTAATTCCCAACATTACTCAAACACAGAAATGCCTTCAAATGTTAAAATAAAACCTCAAATCTTTAGTTTTTCTTCCTCTCATTGTTCCTGATATCCTTTAGGGTGCATTAGTATTGTACCCAATATTTCTTTGATTTTTTAGGAAGTTAAAGATTTTATTTCTATTATTCTATATAGCTTTTAACCCTAAGGCAGCAATTTACTGACATTCCATTCCTCTAATATTTTATTAAGGATAAATAAGATCTTCATCATTGTAGGCTGCATATCTACCTTTCCCCCACCCCAAACAGCATACCCTTCACAACTTAAATCACATGAGGTAAATAGAAAGTCTTTTACTATGGCTTATTCAGAATTTAATTAGTGCCTTGCTTCTTCCTCCTCACACTCTACAAAACAAACATAACATCATCAAACTTGAGAGCTAAACAAACAAAAATCAGAGATTATTTAATCTATTTCAGTTATTTTACTAAGTAAATTGGAAATCTAGGCTGCAAGGTACTTAGTGTCATCCTTATGACACACTTAGTGAACAGTGAGTGATATGTGCACATGCACCTGTGTGTACCACACACATATATCTGTTCTGAGACCTCAGACCTGCAGTCCCATGCTTCTTAATTTTCTTACATTCCGGAATACTCTCTCAATTTGTTTCTTTCCCTAGCCAGCTCAGCCTGATGTGTTATCACTTTGCATATTTGCTCAGGTCCTTAGCCTTTTTGCCAAAATGCCTAACAAAGCCTCAGTCCAGTATCTTTCCAAGCACCTCCCTGCTTTCCTTGACTAACTGACAGTTGACTGGGGTTGGAGAAAAATTTAACATGCACATAGATTGGGGCCATTAAAATATCACAGTCATCTGGCAATTTTTCCAAGTCCCCTTGATCACACCTTTCTCCTTTGTGTCTCCTACTTGCTAACCAATCTGACTCACTCTCACAGGGTATTTCCTTTTCTATTCCCCAGAGTAAATGGCAGCATTAAGCAAGAACTCTCTCAACCTTCTGCATCTATATTCAAGCTACCTCCTACTTTCTGTCACAATGGCAGAATAAATCTCCCAATATCCTTAGATATTTCCTATCAGGCCTAGTCATTCTTATTAAAATAATTTTTCCATAAATTATATTATTTTCTGCATTTAAGAATAGGAGTTTTTTCTGCTTCTTTTTATTGCCAAGTTGTTTGGGTTTTTTTTAATGGTATTCATTCTACACAGCTAGCTTCAAACCACTGTCATTTCCAAGCATCCTCTTCATAGTCACCCAATGACCTGTTTATAAAATCTACTGTCTACTTTTTGTTTTCATTTAACTTGTCTTCTCCTTGACATCAGATATTGCTGACTGATTATATATATATATATATATATACACATACATATACATACATACATACATATGAAACAATGAGGGAAAGAGAAAAAAAAAGTATAAAAAAACTCTACAGTTTCCTCCTATTTCTCAGACTGGGGTGGCAGGGTCTTTTTGCATGTTAACAAATGTTAACTGATATGCTGGTCATCACTTCATTTTTATCTCAATCTATACATTCCTTCTATCTTCCTCTCACTTAAATGGTTTCAGCTTTCACCCACATGTAGATGATGTCCAGGTAACTATATTGAGCTCCAGTTATTTGGTTGTTTCATTCATCCATTCATTTATGCGTTCATTTGGACAAGGCATATTTACTGAGTGCTAGGCACTGGAAAAACGGTTGTAGCAGTACATAGACAAGGAACTGCCAGAAATTGAAGCTGGATTCAGAAGAGGATTCAATTCAATGTAGAATGAAGGATATCATTGCTGAAGTCAGATGGATCTTGGCTGAAAGCAAAGAATACCAGAAAAATGTTTATCTGTGTTTTATTGACTATGCAAAGGCATTTGACTATGTGGAGCATAACAAATTATGGATAACATTGCAAAGAATGAGGGTTCCAGAAAACTTAATTGTGCTCATGAGGAACCTGTACACAGGCCAACAGGCAATCATTAGAACAGAACAAGAGGACACTGCATAGTTTGAAATCAGGAAAAGTGTGAGTCAGGGTTGTATCCTTTCACCAAATGTATTCAGTCTGCATGGTGAGCAAATAACTGGAGCAGCTGGACTATATGAAGAGGA